CCAGAAACTGATGACTGGATAAAGAAGATGTGGTATATATACACAATGGAATACTACTCAGCCATAAAAAAAGACGAAATTGGCCCATTCACAACAACGTGGATGGACCTCGAGGGCATTATGTTAAGCGAAATAAGTCAGTCAGAGAAAGACGATCTCTATATGACTCCACTCATAGGTGGAAATTAGTATATTGAGAAGGAGATCTGATCGGTGGTTACCAGGGAAAAGGGGGAGTGGGGGGAGGGTACGGAGGGGGAAGTGGTGTACCCACAACATGACTAACAAAAATGTACAACTGAAATCTCACAAGCTTGTAATCTATCATAACATTAATAAAAAAAAAAAATAAAAAAAAAAAAAAAAGAAGGAAGGGGATGTTCTTTTCTCTAACGGGAGATGAGAAAATGGCCACATTCAGAGTTGATAAATCTAGTTCATCTTGCCAGGGCTGCTGTGATGGGGTTTGTCCCTTCCACTATAGCCATGTGAGGAAGGCACTCGAGGAGTCAGAAGGAACTGGCACACAACTTTCTAGTTAATGTGGTGTCTATAAAGGCAGTGTATTTAGGAATGTAAATATAGGAACTATTGGTCTGTTCTCATGAGGGAGCAGAACATGAGAAGTAAGATGCTGTAAAGGTCTTTGATTCCAGCCTAGCCAGAAACTCTGGTCCTAAGAGTCTCTTAGGGGGATCTAAGATTCCAGATTTGCATTAGTGATGACTTGGCAAAAAGACTTCCAAACAAGTTTGGACCAAAGACTTTGATTAACTGTAACACTGACAGATACAACGTATAACGAAAAATGGACCAAATTGTGTGTGTGTGTATGTACTTCTTTAGAAACTTGATTTACAAGAATGTTTGAGTCTCTGTTGGTATTTACTTATTTTTAAAAAGACTTTTTTTGGTGGGTGTCAAGGTAAGGGATAGCGGTGAAGAATAGGATCCCACTTCATTTTTCTCAGCAGGAACAGATGTTACCTGCGCAAAGCTGCTGGGCAGAGAAGGTCAGGATTGTGGCTGACAGGCCTTCATCCTCCCAAGTCAGAGTGTGGACGCCACTGGCGGCCTGGTTCAGAATCCGGGCTCCACAACTCTCTAACTGCGGAATGGTGGAGCAGGAATACAGCTTTGCTGAGCTTTAGATCCCTCAATTATAACACGAGGATAACAATTTCCTCCTGCTAGAATTGACGTGGATTAAATGAGCTATTATTAAAGACTACTCTAATATCCATTTGTCTTTCTGTCTGTCTATTCATGTGTCTATCCATCTGTCTGTCTATTCATCTATCTATCCATCTATCTGTCTATCTAATCTATCATTATCTATCTATGATTGTATGCACATTAATTATCTATAGAAGAGACAAAATAAGCTGGTGACAGTGACTACCTCTGAGAAGGAAGAGTATAAACTATGGACTCTGGGTGATAATGATGCACCAATGTACGTCATTGATTGTGACAGATTTGCCTGTCTGGTGGGAGATGTTGATAGCAGAAGAGGGTATGCATGTCTGTGGGGCCAGGGTGCATATGGGAACTCCCTGAACTTTCTACCTAATTTTTCTATGAACCTTGAACTGCTCTAAAAAGTACAATCTATTTGAAAGGGAAAAAAAAAGTTCCGGAGATGGATAATGGTGATGATTGCACAACAACGTGAATGTACTTAATGCAACTGAACTGCACGCGTAAAATGATTAAAATGTTAAACATTATGCTATGTATATTTTGTCACAATAAAAAAGAAAAAAAAGAAAAATGGATTTACTGTATGATTTCATTCTTGGGCGTTTATCCCAGAGAAACACACACTTATTTCATGTAGAAACCTGTACATGAGTGTTCGTAGCAGCTTTATTTGTAATTGCCCCGAGCTAGAAACAACTAAAATATTCCTCAGTAGGTGAATAGTTAAAACAAACTAGTGGATCTATGCCGTGGAATACTATCCAGCAATAAGAAGATACAAACTATTGATACTTGCAATAATTGGGATGACTCTCAAAGAAATTACACTAAGTGAAAAAAGCAAATCTCAAAAGCATGCATACTGCATGATTCCATCTATGTAACACTTGTGAAATGATGTAATTATAGCTATGAAGAATGGGTTAATGTCTTCCAGCAGTTTGGGACAGGAAAGGGGCAGTAATGGGTGACTATAATGGATGAGGGAATCTTGTGGTGATGGTAGAGTTAAGTATCTTGACTGTGGTGGTGTTTCGTGAAGCTACATATGGGAATAAATTATACAGAGCTACACATATACTTACACATAAATGAGTACCTGTATACCCAGTGGAATCTAAATGAGCTCTATAGATGGTACCAATGTCAATTCCTGGTTTTGCTTCGTACTACAGTCACGTAAGATGTTACCATTGGGAGAGGCTGGGTGAAGTGGGCACAGAATCTCCCTGTATATTTCTTTACACCTTTCTGTGTATCTGTAATCACTTCAAAATAAACAAAAACTTTTAAAGTGCTTTGCAAACACTATCTTACTTGATCCTCACAATAACTAGGGGAGGTGAATACTATGATTATTCACATTTTATAGAAAAAAAAAACAAGGCCCTGGGACAAACTGCGAATAGGAGATTGATTACAGAGCTAAAAACAAGCAAAGCCACATCCTTTTTATAAGTATCGGTATATTTATATAAGTATTTGTAAGTATAAAACAATTTAGGGAACCCAAGTGTCAGAAGTATACGTGTTCTTTTGATAGCAAATTTGCAAAGTAAAAATAAAAAACAAACCCTCTGTCTTCCCACAACTTACGATAGACTTGAAGCTTGAAGTGCTTGGTGGTGGTGGTGATCTTCTTTTCAGAGGTCTTTAAACTTATGTCGGCTTTGTAGGTCCCTGCATCTTCCATCCTCAGATTCCTGATCTCCAGGTTATAGTTCTGACCTGAGACATTTATTCGTTCATAATAATCTTGGTGGGTCACAGTAATTATGGGTGGTGTTCCGGAATTTCCTGGTATTATAGAAGCAACTGACGATTTGGAAGTCCAAGCAATGCTGTTAACTTGCTGTGATCCTTGGATATTTAAGGGGAAAGTAACCGACTCTCCCAGAATCCCATTCACTGTGATGATGTCTGTGTTGCTTCCAGATACTTCCAGACCTGAGGACATACATAGAAAACCATAGCCATTTGACAGTTGCACCTTTTAGAGTTTCCTGTCCCCCCAGGCTTGAGTCTCCCTAAGGAGCTGCCATGGGTGCAGCTCATCCAGTTTCTTGAGGATTTTTTTGTTTTTTGAGCATTTTACTCTAGGAATATTTTATATGTTAGATGGCTAAATTTTCAAAAGGATTCTCACTTAAGAACTAAGTTTCCCAGTGAATTTCAAGGGGTCTATCTCATTACAAACATGTTTATCTAGACATCGAGTCTGAGAGCTAGAAGGGATTCGAGAGATGAAGACCATAGACTTCTATGACGTCCAAGACATTAAACGTCTTGCTTTCCCAAGGTCATATTCCCAAGTGGTAGAAGAGCTGGGACAAGAGTCTGGAATGGCTACTGCAGTCTTTGCAAAAACGATTTATGCCACTATTCCTGGGAGATACAGGCAGAGACTGCCTTAGAGGCTCTGGAGTAAACATTCCCTAAGTTGGTGATTTATGGGGTCTTTTTTGTTCACTACTATATCCCCAGTCTCTAGAAGAGTATCTGAAACATAGTGGGTGCTTAGGAAATAATATCTGCAGAAAGAATTGATAAATGGAATTCACCTATGTGTTGCCTAGAATCTTTTGGAACAACTTCTGAAGTAAGCAAAGTTAGTTTATTGATCCAAACATTTATGAATGACCGCATGTTATTTATTCAGGGTCAGTTTTGTTCTGGACACTATGGCAGGTATTTATTAATTTAATTTGTAATGCAAATGTTTGTTGAGCATCTATTCTTTTAAGCATGATACAAGGAACTGGGGACGCGATGGTGAGTAAAAAAAGATAGAGTTTCCACTCTCCGGAACTTAGCAGTTAAAGAAGGAAATGAGTGTTGATCAGATAACCACAGATGGTTAGATTGAAATATATAAGTCTTAAGGTGATTTGAGAGAGAATGGCAAGGGGACTTGATCTATTCTGGGAATCCAGGAATGCTTTCTAGTAAAAGCTGAAAGATGAGTGTTTTTGAAATCTAACATTGGAAAAAATAAAAGGTTTATTTTCTTCTCCTCCATCACCTTATGAAGAAAATTGGTTTATTACGCAGTTTATAAAATAAAAGAGTATAATTATAAGGTGTTATTTTCTTCTCTTCCTCCTCTTCTTTCATTACTCTGTTATTCTCACTGAGCTCTATTTAATGAGAGACGGTGTTTTGAGGCAGCATAGATGATATTCAAAATATTTAATAACCAATAGACACAACCACTGGCCAATCAGAAAAGGCATCAGCCATGAACAATTATTGGGCTGTTCTGATGAGTAACGGCTGCATGTTCCCCCAAAGAGCAGGATGTAAGTTTCCACATAAGTGGGTTCAGGCTGACTCTTAAGTTTATCCAGGGCTTGGCATAAAGAGGGCAAGAATAAAGGTCATTGGGAATACAAGTTATTTTGAAGTGTCAGAAAAGCAAAGGGATTTGTTAACATGATGGTCTTGTCTCACTATGGCACCCTTCTAGCCCGGGAACTCCTGAATGAGCCCAGGGACTGCTAGTCTAAACCTGTTTCCTTTCAGACCAACCAAGATTTTCCTTTAGGAGGAATATCCCAGGCAAGGCCTGGGGGGGTGGGGCGTGCAGAGAAGGGGGAAACTAAGGGCCCTTATCTACAATCATTTATTAAGTGCTAACTACATGTCAGATGATGCTGTATTAGGAACTCAGGATGAATAGGATATGGTTGTGGTCCTGAGGAGCTCACAGCCCAGAGAATAACACAGGTGTGTGTAAGTGAAAAATAATACAATGTGATGAGTGCTAAATGAAAAGAGCAAAAGGAACAAATGTTGAGGGGACAGAAAGAGAGACTAAACTTGCCTTCAGTGGCAGGAGTCAGTCTACAAAATCTATTTCCTTGAACATGAATTCTCTCCACATAAACTGTTCCACTGGGTTGATGAGGTCTGGTAGAGAGACCCTTGGAGTGTCCCAGCCTGAATCCCTGGCTGTTCTAGACATGGGCATGTGACCTGTGCAGTTGCATAGAGCCTTGAGCTCAGAAGGACACTGAACTCGGTTGAATGCTGCTGTTGCCACCTCGAAATTATTAATATTCTTTGAACAAGGGGCCCCATATATTCATGTTGTACTAGGTTCTGCAAACTCTACAGCTGGTCTTGGTGCCAGATCGCCCACATCTCTTAAGGCTTTTTTGACTTCAGCCCCAGCTCCCAATTACCATTCCACTCTTTAGATTCAGGTTAGGTGTGAGATGATGGACAGGATGTAGGTTCCATAGACTCAATTCTGGTGAGTTCTCTTGTTAAACCCCAGGAAGTGTGTAGGCCGTTTGCTAAGGCTGACACCTGCTTAGCATTGGGGCGGTTGTGCCACAGGCGGTTAGTGTGTGGCTGTTTTGGAAGCGTATCTTATTTCCCATAGCAAGTCATTCAGGAAATGGTGCTGGGGGTAGCAAAGGGTGATGAAACACTGAGGGTGGCAGATAGGCAATGCTGGGGGAGGTCCTGCTGCTATTTGTGCTCCTGGTGTTGTTGAGAATCCTGGGCCTGCTGAGAAAAGGCAAAGGGCTTGCACAGGCATAGGATTCTGACTACTTTAAACACTCGGACTGTGGTCTGAGGAAAGCAGCTGCAAAACCATAGCGTGTAGTGGAAAGACAGGCAGGCTGGAGACGTAGGTGCTAGTATTTCTACTTATGCGCTGGGCAACCTTAATAAAGTCACAAAACCTTTCTGAGTCTCAGTTTTTTCATTCATAGAATGGAAATAATAGCTATAAAATTCGCTGTATCTAATTAGTGATCAACAAATTATATATTATGAGTGGAATTGCTTTGTTAACCATCAAGGCAAAATGAATGCTAGTCATTTCTAAGGTTGATAATGATAATGATGAGGACGAGAACCACCCATCATCTTAATAATTGGTACCTGCCGTTTAGGGCTTCTCTAGTCCATCTCGATGATGGCCTTGGTGACACGAGGGCTATACTGAAGAATGTATGAAAAGCCATTATTAATAGCTAATTCAAGTAAAGCCCAGAGGGATAGTTTTAGGTACCACTCCACTTAGGGGACTTTATTCTTCTTTTAAAGACTTCAGATTTTTAAAAAAGAATGTCCACATCAACCAACCCCAATATTTATTTTTCTAGGTGCTGAAGGGATTCAGACGTTATACTAGTGTTGGAGGGGACCTAAGGAAAACTCAATTTCACAGAGAAATTGTGGCACAAAAATGTCTTGAAGACTTACTATGAAATGCACTATGCAAGTCTATGACCAAAAGAAATTCCCTGCCTTTTAAAGGAATTTCCTATCTGGTTAGGGAAATAAGACACACACATACACATAACTCTCCTTTGTAGTATGAGGTAGTAGGTGATAAATTCCAGTGAATGGTAAAGATAGTAATTGCAGTAGGAATTCAAAGAAGAGAGAGATCACTTGGAGCTGTGGTGGTTAGAGAAAACTTCTTGGAGAAAGCAGAATTTGAGGAGGACTTTGAAGAGTAAATATAATTTTCTTGGCTAGAAAGGGAAAGGATGGGTGTCTTCCGTCCTCAGGTCCTGAATAAACACTTAAAAGCAGGAGAACGTGTGATGTAGGTTGAATGAGTATGGATTTGAGTAGCAGAGTAGAGAGAGATAAGGCTGAAGCTACAAATTAGGTTTGGATTTGGGACAGCCTTGAGTTTGAAGTTTATACCACACACAGAGGGGAGCTATTAAAGCTTTTGAGGATAAAGATTAAAATGATGTTTTAGGGTCATAGTAATATAATAACGATGTGTAGGGGGGAGAAGCTGGGCTTGAGAGACCATTTCAGAGGCTTTTGTAGCCATCTGGTCATGATGAGGGGATGATAATGGGAATGGGAAGGAAGGGATGAATTTGAGAGACAACACAAAGAAAGGCAAGGAATAAGGAGGCATCTAATAGGATTTGATTGTTCAACAACGTATTTTGAGTGTCTACTTTGTGTCAGTGGAAAACTGATAGATATAGAAAACTGATTAAGTTTCAGATGGAAAGAAGTCAAAAGGAGAAGACAAATGTAGTGTTAGAAATATTGAATTTGAGACGATGGTGGACCATCTAAGTAAGCAGTTGAAAGGATGGGAGATAAGAAGGGAGAATAGGCTTGAAGTATTGTTTGGGGAGCTGTGGCAGAATCTGCTAGTTGTTTTACAATATTTGTTCTCTCCCTCATTTTTAGTAACAATCCCCAAGTTTTAGCAGGGCATATGATCACCCAGAATACTAGCTTTCTGTCGGCTACGGTTGGTCATGTGACTAAGTTCAGGCCAATGCGATGAAAGTGGTAGTGTTGTATATGACTTCTACGTCTTTAAGAAGAGAGCACAGTGCTTTCTTCATCTCTTTCTTTCTTCTTGCAGGTTGGAATACCATGACAGCTGGATCTCAGACAGACATTTTGTATCGGGAAAGAAGAGGAAGCCAAGCGCTGAGAATGATGGCGCAGGAAGATTGAAAAAGTGTGGGTCCCTGATGACCTTGTGGACTATTCTACCAATGAAACTGCCGACTCCTGACTTTTTTACATGAGCAAGAAATAAATTTGGCAATATCTCTAGAGGAGAATCAAAGGCAAGAAAAGGCTGGAACTCTGGGGTGAACTTGGATAGAAAAATATGTTTGCTGTGACCCCTAGGTAGCTCTGGTGAAGAGGGAACCTGGGACTCCAAGGGCAGGATGACACCAGCTTCGACAGATAGCACTGCGGACAGGCTGATCATTGGACGTGGCCTTCCCCTCATGGAAGGGAAGCTGAGCACCTTTCCCTGCCTAATATGCCTTTCTGTGTGTTAGGTGACAACTCCTATTTCCCCGGATGAACTGATGGGTGTGGGTGGACTTTACAAATGTACTTTCCATGATAAAGTAGGTGTCAAAAATCACTGACTAGAAGAAAGTAAAAGAGACTATGAGAAAAAGAAAGGTATTTGGGGAAAAACAGCA